ATCATGTTACTCATGCATCTTGTTCTCTGTTGTGGGCTTTTTAGTGCCACAAAGCAATCTTAGCACTACAGCCATCGTAACTCCTATACTTTAACATTGATTTAGCCAGTTGTAGCCCTAAGATTGGTTTGTGGTTGGAATTAGTTCTGAGATGTTGTAAGAGGTGCCTAAAATGGAGATTGAATGGTGAAAATGTCTGCTGAATATAAATAGTGTTTGGATCAGTCCACTAAGGAAACCTGTGTCATGGGAGGTGAAGGTGATGTGAAATAGGGTTTGATGTTGTGTTAAAGATTATTTCACATATATGTGTGTGTGTGTCTGCTTGTCCTCGACTGGACTTATGCCAGTTTTATAGTGCAAGAACAGAGTCACCATGGCACAGTATAAAATGGGTGCCCAGTCAGACACATAATACTGACTCTGAGCCTACCAGCCCTTCCTTTGTCCCCTTAATGCCAAGTGGTAGGCAGAGTCTTTTGTTTGGGGGATGGGGGGGGTGGTCGAACCACCGACCTACCATTCTCTGGGCAGACGCTTTCCCAGCTTTCCCAACTTTCCCAGCTTTCCAAACTATCCCAGCTTTTCCAGCTTTCCCAACTATCCAAACTATCCCAACTATCCCAGCTTTGTCCTGTTCTGTACAATGCCGGTTCTGTTTTGTTCTGTCCTGTAGTTCTGTCTCTACTGTGAAGGATTGCCCTGAATCAGATTGTCCTGTTCTGGACAATGCCTGTTCTGTTTTGTTCTGTCTCGTAGTTCTGTCTCTACTGTGAAGGATTGCCCTGAATCAGATTGTCCTGTTCTGGACAATGCCTGTTATGTTTTGTTCTGTCCTGTAGTTCTGTCTCCTCTGTGAAGGATTGCCCTGAATCAGATTGTCCTGTTCTGGACAATGCCTGTTATGTCTTGTTCTATCTCGTAGTTCTGTCTCTACTGTGAAGGATTGTCCTGAATCAGATTGTCCTGTTCTGGACAATGCCTGTTATGTCTTGTTCTGTCCCGTAGTTCTGTCTCTACTGTGAAGGATTGCCCTGAATCAGATTGTCCTGTTCTGGACAATGCCTGTTATGTTTTGTTCTGTCCCGTAGTTCTGTCTCCCCTGTGAAGGATTGCCCTGAAACAGATTGTCCTGTTCTGGACAATGCCTGTTCTGTTTTGTTCTGTCTCGTAGTTCTGTCTCTACTGTGAAGGATTGCCCTGAATCAGATTGTCCTGTTCTGGACAATGCCTGTTATGTTTTGTTCTGTCCTGTAGTTCTGTCTCCTCTGTGAAGGATTGCCCTGAATCAGATTGTCCTGTTCTGGACAATGCCTGTTATGTCTTGTTCTATCTCGTAGTTCTGTCTCTACTGTGAAGGATTGTCCTGAATCAGATTGTCCTGTTCTGGACAATGCCTGTTATGTCTTGTTCTGTCCCGTAGTTCTGTCTCTACTGTGAAGGATTGCCCTGAATCAGATTGTCCTGTTCTGGACAATGCCTGTTATGTCTTGTTCTGTCCTGTAGTTCTGTCTCCACAGTGAAGGATTGCCCTGAATCAGATTGTCCTGTTCTGGACAATGCCTGTTCTGTTTTGTTCTGTCTCGTAGTTCTGTCTCTACTGTGAAGGATTGCCCTGAATCAGATTGTCCTGTTCTTGACAATGCCTGTTATGTTTTGTTCTGACCTGTAGTTCTGTCTACACTGTGAAGGATTGCCCTGAATCAGATTGTCCTGTTCTTGACAATGCCTGTTATGTCTTGTTCTGTCCTGTAGTTCTGTCTCCACTGTGAAGGATTGCCCTGAATCAGATTGTCCTGTTCTGTACAATGCCTGTTCTGTTTTGTTCTGTCTCGTAGTTCTGTCTCTACTGTGAAGGATTGCCCTGAATCAGATTGTCCTGTTCTGGACAATGCCTGTTATGTTTTGTTCTGTCCTGTAGTTCTGTCTCCTCTGTGAAGGATTGCCCTGAATCAGATTGTCCTGTTCTGGACAATGCCTGTTATGTCTTGTTCTGTCTCGTAGTTCTGTCTCTACTGTGAAGGATTGTCCTGAATCAGATTGTCCTGTTCTGGACAATGCCTGTTATGTCTTGTTCTGTCCCGTAGTTCTGTCTCTACTGTGAAGGATTGCCCTGAATCAGATTGTCCTGTTCTGGACAATGCCTGTTATGTTTTGTTCTGTCCTGTAGTTCTGTCTCCTCTGTGAAGGATTGCCCTGAATCAGATTGTCCTGTTCTGGACAATGCCTGTTATGTCTTGTTCTGTCTCGTAGTTCTGTCTCTACTGTGAAGGATTGTCCTGAATCAGATTGTCCTGTTCTGGACAATGCCTGTTATGTCTTGTTCTGTCCCGTAGTTCTGTCTCTACTGTGAAGGATTGCCCTGAATCAGATTGTCCTGTTCTGGACAATGCCTGTTATGTTTTGTTCTGTCCCGTAGTTCTGTCTCCCCTGTGAAGGATTGCCCTGAAACAGATTGTCCTGTTCTGGACAATGCCTGTTCTGTTTTGTTCTGTCTCGTAGTTCTGTCTCTACTGTGAAGGATTGCCCTGAATCAGATTGTCCTGTTCTGGACAATGCCTGTTATGTTTTGTTCTGTCCTGTAGTTCTGTCTCCTCTGTGAAGGATTGCCCTGAATCAGATTGTCCTGTTCTGGACAATGCCTGTTATGTCTTGTTCTATCTCGTAGTTCTGTCTCTACTGTGAAGGATTGTCCTGAATCAGATTGTCCTGTTCTGGACAATGCCTGTTATGTCTTGTTCTGTCCCGTAGTTCTGTCTCTACTGTGAAGGATTGCCCTGAATCAGATTGTCCTGTTCTGGACAATGCCTGTTATGTCTTGTTCTGTCCTGTAGTTCTGTCTCCACAGTGAAGGATTGCCCTGAATCAGATTGTCCTGTTCTGGACAATGCCTGTTCTGTTTTGTTCTGTCTCGTAGTTCTGTCTCTACTGTGAAGGATTGCCCTGAATCAGATTGTCCTGTTCTTGACAATGCCTGTTATGTTTTGTTCTGACCTGTAGTTCTGTCTACACTGTGAAGGATTGCCCTGAATCAGATTGTCCTGTTCTTGACAATGCCTGTTATGTCTTGTTCTGTCCTGTAGTTCTGTCTCCACTGTGAAGGATTGCCCTGAATCAGATTGTCCTGTTCTGTACAATGCCTGTTCTGTTTTGTTCTGTCTCGTAGTTCTGTCTCTACTGTGAAGGATTGCCCTGAATCAGATTGTCCTGTTCTGGACAATGCCTGTTATGTTTTGTTCTGTCCTGTAGTTCTGTCTCCTCTGTGAAGGATTGCCCTGAATCAGATTGTCCTGTTCTGGACAATGCCTGTTATGTCTTGTTCTGTCTCGTAGTTCTGTCTCTACTGTGAAGGATTGTCCTGAATCAGATTGTCCTGTTCTGGACAATGCCTGTTATGTCTTGTTCTGTCCTGTAGTTCTGTCTCCACTGTGAAGGATTGCCCTGAATCAGATTGTCCTGTTCTGTACAATGCCTGTTCTGTTTTGTTCTGTCTCGTAGTTCTGTCTCTACTGTGAAGGATTGCCCTGAATCAGATTGTCCTGTTCTGGACAATGCCTGTTATGTTTTGTTCTGTCCTGTAGTTCTGTCTCCTCTGTGAAGGATTGCCCTGAATCAGATTGTCCTGTTCTGGACAATGCCTGTTATGTCTTGTTCTGTCTCGTAGTTCTGTCTCTACTGTGAAGGATTGTCCTGAATCAGATTGTCCTGTTCTGGACAATGCCTGTTATGTCTTGTTCTGTCCCGTAGTTCTGTCTCTACTGTGAAGGATTGCCCTGAATCAGATTGTCCTGTTCTGGACAATGCCTGTTATGTCTTGTTCTGTCCTGTAGTTCTGTCTCCACAGTGAAGGATTACCCTGAATCAGATTGTCCTGTTCTGGACAATGCCTGTTCTGTTTTGTTCTGTCTCGTAGTTCTGTCTCTACTGTGAAGGATTGCCCTGAATCAGATTGTCCTGTTCTTGACAATGCCTGTTATGTTTTGTTCTGACCTGTAGTTCTGTCTACACTGTGAAGGATTGTCCTGAATCAGATTGTCCTGTTCTTGACAATGCCTGTTATGTCTTGTTCTGTCCTGTAGTTCTGTCTCCACTGTGAAGGATTGCCCTGAATCAGATTGTCCTGTTCTGTACAATGCCTGTTCTGTTTTGTTCTGTCTCGTAGTTCTGTCTCTACTGTGAAGGATTGTCCTGAATCAGATTGTCCTGTTCTTGACAATGCCTGTTATGTCTTGTTCTGTCTCGTAGTTCTGTCTCTACTGTGAAGGATTGTCCTGAATCAGATTGTCCTGTTCTGGACAATGCCTGTTATGTCTTGTTCTGTCTCGTAGTTCTGTCTCTACTGTGAAGGATTGTCCTGAATCAGATTGTCCTGTTCTGGACAATGCCTGTTATGTCTTGTTCTGTCCCGTAGTTCTGTCTCTACTGTGAAGGATTGTCCTGAATCAGATTGTCCTGTTCTGGACAATGCCTGTTATGTCTTGTTCTGACCTGTAGTTCTGTCTCCACTGTGAAGGATTGCCCTGAATCAGATTGTCCTGTTCTGGACAATGCCTGTTCTGTTTTGTTCTGTCTCGTAGTTCTGTCTCTACTGTGAAGGATTGCCCTGAATCAGATCGTCCTGTTCTGGACAATGCCTGTTATGTTTTGTTCTGTCCTGTAGTTCTGTCTACACTGTGAAGGATTGCCCTGAATCAGATTGTCCTGTTCTGGACAATGCCTGTTCTGTTTTGTTCTGTCTCGTAGTTCTGTCTCTACTGTGAAGGATTGCCCTGAATCAGATTGTCCTGTTCTTGACAATGCCTGTTATGTTTTGTTCTGACCTGTAGTTCTGTCTACACTGTGAAGGATTGCCCTGAATCAGATTGTCCTGTTCTTAACAATGCCTGTTATGTCTTGTTCTGTCCTGTAGTTCTGTCTCCACTGTGAAGGATTGCCCTGAATCAGATTGTCCTGTTCTGTACAATGCCTGTTCTGTTTTGTTCTGTCTCGTAGTTCTGTCTCTACTGTGAAGGATTGCCCTGAATCAGATTGTCTTGTTCTGTCCCGTAGTTCTGTCTCCTCTGTGAAGGATTGCCCTGAATCAGATTGTCCTGTTCTGTACAATGCCTGTTCTGTTTTGTTCTGTCTCGTAGTTCTGTCTCTACTGTGAAGGATTGCCCTGAATCAGATTGTCTTGTTCTGTACTGTAGTTCTGTCTCCACTGTGAAGGATTGCCCTGAATCAGATTGTCCTGTTCTGGACAATGCCTGTTATGTCTTGTTCTGTCCTGTAGTTCTGTCTATACTGTTCTGTCATGTAGTTCTGTCTCCCCTGTGAAGGATTGCCCTGAATCAGATTGTCCTGTTCTGGACAATGCCTGTTCTGTTTTGTTCTGTCTCGTAGTTCTGTCTCTACTGTGAAGGATTGCCCTGAATCAGATTGTCCTGTTCTGGACAATGCCTGTTCTGTTTTGTTCTGTCCTGTAGTTCTGTCTCTACTGTGAAGGATTGGCCTGAATCAGATTGTCCTGTTCTGTACAATGCCTGTTATGTCTTGTTCTGTCCTGTAGTTCTGTCTCCACTGTGAAGGATTGTCCTGAATCAGATTGTCCTGTTCTGGACAATGCCTGTTATGTCTTGTTCTGTCCTGTAGTTCTGTCTCTACAGTGAAGGATTGCCCTGAATCAGATTGTCCTGTTCTGGACAATGCCTGTTATGTCTTGTTCTGTCCTGTAGTTCTGTCTCTACTGTTCTGTCCCGTAGTTCTGTCTCCCCTGTGAAGGATTGCCCTGAATCAGATTGTCATGTTCTGTACAATGCCTGTTCTGTTTTGCTCTGTCTCGTAGTTCTGTCTCTACTGTGAAGGATTGTCCTGAATCAGATTGTCCTGTTCTGGTCAATGCCTGTTATGTCTTGTTCTGTCCTGTAGTTCTGTCTCCACTGTGAAGGATTGTCCTGAATCAGATTGTCCTGTTCTGGACAATGCCTGTTATGTCTTGTTCTGTCCTGTAGTTCTGTCTACACTGTGAAGGATTGCCCTGAATCAGATTGTCCTGTTCTGGACAATGCCTGTTATGTCTTGTTCTGTCCTGTAGTTCTGTCTCCCCTGTGAAGGATTGCCCTGAATCAGATTGTCCTGTTTTGTTTAATTTTCTATCCAGTCCCATTTGCTGTCTGGGCTGCATGTCGGTGGGGCAAAGAGCTTGAGCTGATGACGAGCCTAATAAGCTTGACTGCGCCAGGATCACCCAAACCCTCTTTGCTGTATTTTTGTCCCCCGCCGCGTGAAAGCGCAAAGCGGGGGATATAGTATTCACGACCGTCCGTACGTCCCACCTGTTTGTTGCCGCGATATCTCAAGAAGTAAACACTGGATTGTCTTCATATTTGGAACTATGGTGTATATACAAATTCCGCAGACACCAGTCGGTTTTGGTGACCTTGACCCCATTTTCAAGGTCACAGCAGGCAAATCTGCTTTTGGAGTTGGAAAACGGTGTTGCCGCGATATCTCAAGAACTAAACACTGGATTGTCTTCATATTTGGAACTATGGTGTATATACAGACTCCACAGACACCAGTCGGTTTTGGTGACCTTGATCCCGTTTTCAAGGTCACAGCAGGCAAATCTGCTTTTGGAGTTGGAAAACGGTGTTGCCGCGATATCTCAAGAACTAAACACTGGATTGTCTTCATATTTGGAACTATGGTGTATATACAAATTCCGCAGACACCAGTCGGTTTTGGTGACCTTGACCCCATTTTCAAGGTCACAGCAGGCAAATCTGCTTTTGGAGTTGGAAAACGGTGTTGCCGCGATATCTCAAGAACTAATTGCTGGATTGTCTTCATATTTGGAACTATGGTGTATATACAGACTCCGCAGACACCAGTCGGTTTTGGTGACCTTGACCCCATTTTCAAGGTCACAGCAGGCAAATCTGCTTTTGGAGTTGGAAAACGGTGTTGCCGCGATATCTCAAGAACTAAACACTGGATTGTCTTCATATTTGGAACTATGGTGTATATACAGACTCCGCAGACACCAGTCGGTTTTGGTGACCTTGATCCCATTTTCAAGGTCACAGCAGGCAAATCTGCTTTTGGAGTTGGAAAACGGTGTGCCGCGATATCTCAAGAACTAAACACTGGATTGTCTTCATATTTGGAACTATGGTGTATATACAAATTCCGCAGACACCAGTCGGTTTTGGTGACCTTGACCCCATTTTCAAGGTCACAGCAGGCAAATCTGCTTTTGGAGTTGGAAAACGGTGTTGCCGCGATATCTCAAGAACTAATTGCTGGATTGTCTTCATATTTGGAACTATGGTGTATATACAGACTCCGCAGACACCAGTCGGTTTTGGTGACCTTGACCCCATTTTCAAGGTCACAGCAGGCAAATCTGCTTTTGGAGTTGGAAAACGGTGTTGCCGCAATATCTCAAGAACTAAACACTGGATTGTCTTCTTATTTGGAACTATGGTGTATATACAGACTCCGCAGACACCAGTCGGTTTTGGTGACCTTGATCCCATTTTCAAGGTCACAGCAGGCAAATCTGCTTTTGGAGTTGGAAAACGGTGTTGCCGCGATATCTCAAGAACTAAACACTGGATTGTCTTCATATTTGGAACTATGGTGTATATACAGACACCGCAGACACCAGTTGGTTTTGGTGACCTTGACCCCATTTTAAAGGTCACAGCAGGCAAATCTGTTTTTGGAGTTGGAAAACAGTGTTGCAGCGATATCTCAAGAACTAAACACTGGATTGTTTTCATATTTGGAACTATGGTGTATATACAGACTCCGCAGACACCAGTCGGTTTTGGTGACCTTGACCCCATTTTCAAGGTCACAGCAGGCAAATCTGCTTTTGGAGTTGGAAAACGGTGTTGCCACAATATCTCAAGAACTAATCGCTGGATTGTCTTCATATTTGGTACTATGGTGTATATAAAGGCGGGGGACATTTCGTCACTTTGTGACAAATACTTGTTCATTTTAATCTGTAAATAATTGTAATAATGTTTTATGATGCACTAACCTCCATACAGATGCTCATAGCACTACAGTCACCATGTGTAATATGTGTGAAACAGATGAGTTTTTAGCGGAGATTTGAACATGTGGAAAGTTGGAGATAATTTTATTCTCTATGGTTACTAAGTTTGTTTCACAATTCTGGGGTGGCAACACTAAAAGATTTCTTTTCATAATTGGGCGGTTGGGAGGCCTAGTGGTCAAAGAGTTCGCTCGACATGCAAAAGATTCTGGTTCGATTCCCGACATGGGTACAATGTGTGAAGCCTATTTCTGGTGTCCGCCACAGTGATATTGCTGGAATATTGCTGAAAGTGGCGTAAAACCATACTCACTCACTCTTTTCATAATTTGTTAATTTGTAATGTGGAATTGACAAGAGGTGCTGATTTTCTGAGTGCAGCTATTCTGCCCAAGATGCCCGTATAGCCATGATTTAGATTGTCTTGTACAGGACACCTTCATAATCTCGTAATACCAGTCATTTTTTTCTGGTCCATGCCAAATCACTGACAGGACATGAATATATAGCTAGAATATTTCAACCTTCAACAATATACAAGATGCAAAGAAACTGTAGTCCCACTGGCTTGAACTTTGGGGATGTGTATACTTTTAATGACTCAACCTTTCTTGGAGAGCAGATTTGTTGGGGGATAATGTCGTAGCAGTATAATACTTGTACATTACACCTAGGTAATGTGTCTGCACGAACCGAAGCTCTCGATCAATAACAGAGGCATTATTTCTTTGTTTTTACAGCACTGGTGTGAAACGCGTTGTGAAGTCGACAAGTGCTGGAGTATTGAACACAATTAACTTTGATACATTAGTGAAGTTCAGGTCCACTCTTGATATTCGTATGTTTGTTGATGAATGAATTGCTTCTAATTGTGGCATTAGATAATACAAAATTATCTTGCAGTGAGTTTTCAATCCCAATTAATTGAAGTACGAGTCTACTGTAAAATGATGTTCTGTGCAGATCAGATTCAGTTCTAGGCATTGTGGCTTATAGTTATACGTACTGTATGACCACTGTGTTAATGGATAACTATTGTCCGTGTTTTAGAGCTGAATATTTGATAGTTGATTCAAAAAAAAAGATTGTGTTAAATCTGCATCGATTCATTTTGATTCATTTGTGCCTATTGTTTGAACCATGTGCATTATTCTAAGCTGTGAATGTGTAAGCTTTTACCATTTTAACCAGAAGAGATTTAAAATGTGGATATCAGATTTTGCGGTGAATCATGGGTTATTGGAGTGATGAGAAATGGGATGAATAAATGATGAGACTGTTTGCGTCTGTGATTTCATCCTGGTGGGTGACATTTCACACATTACGGCATCAAGGTGACGAGGCGCGAACACGTCCGGCACAAACTCCGTGTTTCGGAATGCTGTTGACAGATATGCAGGTGATTTGAGAGATTTTTTTCCAAATATATACCGATATTGAAATTGAATGGTACTTGGTGGGGATGCCCAGTTTGTGGTTTAACCATTGGCTTATCATGCCAAAGACCTGGGTTCGATTCTCCATGCATGAAGTCCATTTGTGATATCCCTCGCAGACATTTTGCTGGAATATTGCCAAAAGAGGCGTAAAACTGACTCACTCATTTGTTGGTGCCAAAACTACATGGATACATTTCTGCTGTGTGCTATACAGATGACAGAGGATACAAGAGATGCATTAATGCCTCAGGGAGACATATAACAACTATACTACCTGACTCTCCTGAGATCAGGAAAACCAGTGGTTGATAGTGAGAGGGCCATTAGGGGTATGACGTCATACTAAACCAGCCAGCTAACAGCTGGTGATATTTCCACCTATTCAGCAATATAAAAGACAAGTGTTTTATAATCAGAGTGTTTCATATCATTTTATCAATTACAATGGGTTTTTTATGAGTAACTGAAAATATTTTGTATTCATTATACTTAATACCAACATCTGACATTTATTTCATCAAACATTGGAACAAAATAATTAATTTGCCAAAGATTTTAAACTAATTTGACCTTCCTCTGAGGAACAAAAGTAGTGTCCAGGCAGATAGTATTGTCATTAATTAGTGTTATTAGTTAGTACATGCTACTTCCCTGCAAACTTGTCAGAGCTGCTAACGCCAAACATACAACTGCTGCAGCTCAGATCCAGCGCCAGCAACAACTCCC